AATTTTTAAAAAATTAAAATAAAAAAATAAATAAAATAGAGAGTTCAACACATACTAATCAACAAAATTCACTTCATGGGGCCTTTGAGCCCCACGTCAATTCCTTCCAAAACAAGAGCCCTGCCCTGGGCAGCCACACCTCCCAGGAAAGAGCACACCAGGACTGTCCCAGGTAGACTCACCTTCTGCATCCGTCTCCACCAGTCAGAGTCATCCCGTTGGCCTCCTCTTTTGCCACCATCACCCACAGGCCCAGCACCCTTGTGTTCACTAGTTTCTAAAAAGTCACAATTTGAATAATCATTTATTACCTCCAAAGGGTTCAGAGGACAGAAAGGCACTTTCCAACATTTAATTCTCCCATAGATGGTTCTCCACAAGCAAGAGAGAGCAGCAGATGGCACAGAAGGTGAGGGTCATAGCTGACCTGAAGAATATTAAGGACCTGGGTTTGGCAAAAGGGCAAGTGTCAACCCTAGGCATCTCCAGAGCAGGACCAGTGCCCACACGTAGGAGTAACCTTTCCATTCAGGCATCTTTAATCTTCCTGCTCCAGGATACTCCATCATTCCACTTACCTTTGAGACAAAACAACAAACACTGCTGAGAAGTAGACTTAAAACTTCTCAAATTTCAGTCATATTCACTCATACTTCAAAGCAAGTATAAACAGAAATCTTGTTAGTCCCAACTCTGAAGACACAATGTGCACATCAAGATCTGTGATTCAGGCCAGTTCTGACCTCCTTCAGGTGAAGCCCCAGATTCTGATGCTAATATAACTCTAAACCTTGGACACATGCAAGCAAAGATCAAGCAAATCAGAGCAGCAACTATGGTGAAATGAAAACAAAGGGGGAGGGAGAACATGAAACAAGAGCCAATCACTGCCTCCTCAGTAGCCGGCCAGATCAGCCTTGTCAGGCCCAGGACAATGGCCTCAAGCCTACAGAAAGCCAGCCCCCTGCATGAATCAAGGCAGAACAAGCAGAGGGCTCACTCAAGAGCAGCAACCAGAACAGCAAGCAACAAATGCTGGCGAGGTTGTGGAGAAAC